GACAATCTTAAAGGCGTACCACGAAAGCTGTGCGGCACGTGTTCTTCAACACGTAGCTTGACCAGAACCGAGTCGAAGTGTCTCCTGAATGGAAGGAGAGCAATTACAACATCCTCCCGTCTCACCATCAAGACAGTATAATGGACGAGTCCATCCGCTGAGTGCCTTAGAGTCCAAATTTGTCCGCAGCCGTTGTACTTCGACGATTTGAGGTCAGCTTTTCGTGCTCGTACCTACCGCTTATGTGCATTGGACACGAAACTGAGCAATTCATTGTGGGTATGGTTTGAGCATATACCCAACATTGAGCGTACTGACAGACTATGAGTGTACGGCAACCTTGGCTTCCAATGAAAAATGACAGTCGCTTATTGGCGATGTGTTATTAGCTACAGATGCTGTGACAACAGCTATCGCAATCTTGGGGTTGGCCATGCCTCAATTCTAGTACTCGCCGCAATTTTCTCGTGGCAAGCACCCTGTCGTTCTCGACTGTGTACAGCATAGGCACCGAGGCTGACGAGCATAGAATACTCCGTCTCCAAAGTTGTATCAGGCGGAATATTATTCAAGCAACTTCCTACGTGATCCATCTTGTGGCCAACACCGGCCAAGCGAACACCCAATGCTACCACCAAAAAATAGCCGTGCGACCAGCGGTTGGAGTACATGATGTCAAAGCTGCTGGAAAATAAGCAAAAGCGGCTATCGTCGATCCAGGGCGTCCGCTCTAGCTGATTGTGTTGCACAGCATTGGTCGCGCGAACAGCTGCAGGTGCGAGGTCGACTCGCGTGCTTGCAAAGGCACGTGGAGTACTCGTCTATCGACCCGGTCCGAAGGAGTTGATGTAGACTTCACTAAAGACTCTACTCCAATTGGGGTCCACATACAAGACAATATGAGCGTCTCCAGCTTCTGCTTGTCAGAGACGATCAGTCATATCGGACAAAGTAGTCTATGAGGCATTTTGATCATTGGTGTGACATGCATACCGGCCAGCATTAGCATGAACAGCTAGCCGCGATATGCGGACGTAAGAGTAGGTGTTTTGAGCATGCGTTGTGTCGGCAGTAGAGTGATGGATTCGGGAAAGAGATTATGCTGTGGAATCTGTCCCTCCTCACATCATACTGCATGAATAGCTTATTTCGGCATATAAGCAATTTGGCATTACGAGGCTGTCCACAAAGATAGATCATGATAGATCCTGGTGCCCCTCTCGTATCACCTACACAGATAGCTGCATGTAGTTCAAGACTGCTATCACAGCCAAGCATGAACCTTCTTGCAAGGCTTACGAGGCACTCGGAAGGACGGTCAGGTAAATGTTGCGGTGGGTCAGCAAGAGCTCTACGGAACGTTCCTCGCATAGCTTTACTAAAGACGCATGCCCCTTTCCCGATCATGCGAGGTGTTGTATGAACTTTTTACGTTTGCCAATGGTAGCTATATTGCGAGCCGAGCAGATGGACCTGTGCAGGAAGGTAACACGGCATCTGAACACGATCAGAAGCACGATGTCCTGTGAGTGGTGGATATTGAACAGTGATGAGCTTCCAAGCATGCAAGCAGGAATCCATGGCGGTGAGCAATAAACGAGTATTTCTGTTGCAGCCAACTCAGGAGGTTGACCATGTGCTTCTTGCAATGAACCGCAAGCCGAGTAGTCTACTTGTCGCTTGCCGTGCACACGATGGGTCTGTAGTTGGCCAAATGCCGGATGGACCACTTTCATCTGTCGTCCGCACAATTTGATCGAGTAACAAAAGCCCACACTTTTGTCAATTATCCGGACCAAGAATTCCCCATAGTTGCGACTGCTCTGGTGTGCCCTTTGTCGGCCACGGGTCCCAGAAGCAGACTCGAGCTTTGCTTGTGACGAAAACCCAGGCGCAGCATCAGCATTAGAACCATACAAACCGATATAGAGAACAAAGGAGAAGCGCAAACAAACAAGAAGCGTATGACGGTCTGAAGGAACAGGAGAAGTTTGGTCCCAAGACCCCATTGCTAGAAAGCTTCGCAGGCCGAGACCTCGCACCAAGGCAAGCTCTCGACAGGATCCTACAAAAAAGTCTTCTTTGTTATAAGCAACGCCCAAAGGACGTCGTCCTTGACGATATATTCTTAACCACAAAGGATTTCGTTTGACTATCAGTACATCCTGCACAGCCTCCCTCCAAGTTAGGTAGCTATCGAGGGGTACAAACAATCAGCGAGACTCAGTCATACCTCGGGAAAAACAACATCGACCACCAAATTACTGGAACTTGGCAATTTCTTGCATTGGTCATCAGACATCAAACAAAGTCAGAAAACACAGCTTGTGTTATTCCCTGCTCAGTCACTCGTCAGAGGCTGCAAGTCATCAAGTGCAGTGACTGCATCACACCCGCTCTACCGGTGCGCTTACAGTCGCCCGCCAGTGGCCGTCTTGCCGCCTCCGAGGCCAACTCAATCTGGTGAATTGGTGCTTCCTTCGCAAATTCAGAACAATTCCATCTCGATTGCACTTTTCGCCTTTCGTCCACCACACAGCCACTTCCCTCATTGACCGCGCAGAACCACCCAGCATAGTGTGTCATCGTGATACAAACCAACGAACAAACACAATTTGGATTCTTCGACTTTACTTTACTCGACTGCTTCTCAGATATAAGCCTTGTGTGGTCTTCCTGCGCAGCCGACGTCATTCCACTTTACTTCAACTGACTGAGTCGACCGCGCAATCCGAAATCCTTATCTCGCAGCCTCCAGCCCACCTGATAGGGCATTTCCTACAACTACCACTTCCGCATCCACCTGCGGCCACCCACATGAATTCAACTAGACCCGCCGCTTCGCAAGCATCCTCGTACACATCACCTCCTAGGAGTCCAGCACCGCAAACGAATCCCAATGATGACCCGATAGCACGAGTGGTGCAGGGCACCAATGCCCTGTCCGTCTCTGGAACTACCACCCCTGTCCCCACAGAGCATTCGCAACCTCCGAAGAAACCTAAAATGACGTCCCGTCTGACTCGTATGTTCTCGCGGACAGACCAGAAGGATGTCGATAGTGCTAAGAGCCAACACAAGGAATCGCAAAAGAACTCGGGCGAGAATACACGGTCAGCCTCGCCGGATCAGCTTCAAAACGGCGACACCCTGCAACGATCAGACTCGAAGAAAATGACCATAATGGGAGCCCAGAAAGAGAAGACTAGAATCGACTCTCTCGCAGATCCTAACCATGGCCCATCCAGACGATTCGAGCAGCTTGAGGACGGCACCCACGGCCACTACCTCAAATCCGTCAAGCGACAAGAGAAACTTTCCGGCATGCTCAAAGACCTCATTGGCCGCAAAAAGCACGAAGGAGAAGAGCAACTCTCCCTCATGTCCAATTGGGTCGACCAACTCAGGCTTGAAAAAGACCACCTCGCAAAGGACTCCAAACAAGGTCCGAACGCAACCGCAAACCTGGTCGAGAAGTACGGCAAGTGTCAAGAGATCGTCGGAAGGGGAGCTTTCGGCATTGTCAGAATATCACACAAACAGGACCCCTCGAAACCAGACAAGGAACTGCTTTACGCGGTGAAAGAGTTCAGGAAGCGACCGCAGGAAACGAGCAAGAAGTATCAGAAGCGCCTAACGTCCGAATTCTGCATATCGTCTAGCCTGCGACATCCGAATGTTATTCACACTCTGGATTTGTTGCAGGATGCGAAGGGCGATTACTGCGAGGTCATGGAGTACTGTGCTGGTGGAGATCTTTACACATTGGTAATTGCGGCCGGACAGCTTCAGGTCGCTGAAGCGGACTGCTACTTCAAGCAGCTTATGCGAGGCGTGGAATACATGCACGAGATGGGCGTTGCACACCGAGATCTGAAACCAGAGAACCTTCTCCTCACAAACCACGGTTGTCTCAAGATCACAGACTTCGGCAACGGTGAATGTTTCCGTATGGCGTGGGAGACAGAAGCACATATGACGGCTGGCCTGTGCGGATCTGCGCCATATATTGCGCCGGAAGAGTACACTGATGGCGAGTTCGATCCCAGAGCTGTCGATGTCTGGGCTTGTGGTGTGATCTACATGGCCATGAGGACCGGTCGACACCTGTGGCGTCAGGCGAAGAAGGATGAGGATGAGTTCTACGAGCGGTATCTGGAAGGTCGGAGAGACGAAAATGGCTACGCACCCATAGAAAGTCTGCATAGGGTAAGTCTACCCACCACATATCGTTACAGGAGAAACGCTAACAAGTCACAGTCCCGATGCAGAAACGTCATCTACTCGATACTCGACCCCAAGCCCGAACGGAGAATCACAGCCTCACAAATTCTGAAATCCGAATGGGGTCGCGAGATCAAAGTCTGTGTTGCGGGTGAGGAGGGTTATTGAGCGCAGTCAGCGTACAGCATATGGGCAGGAGCGTTTGCATGAACCAATCAATAGACGACCACCCATTGGCGGCTTGATGCCCAGGACAGGATATACACCTAGAGTTGACGATGCATGATTGAATGAGTTTGAGTTTGTGGTTGGTCCTTATTGAGCGAGCATCAAAAGAGTTTGCTATTGGCATCGTGCACTGGGCGCTGGCCTCGATATAGCATGCATGCGACCCTAAGCTACGAATCGATATAGCCATTTTTAGCCATGCAAGATGATCATGAGAAATGAATTTCATTCTTCCAAACTTGTTCACCTTCACCTATTGTCTTCTCCTGACACTACCACAAGCCACCGTCCCGCGTCCGACTTTATCGTTCTCATCATAGATCTAACAGATGAAGCCGAGCACTGGCAGACAAGGAACAGGTATCCGTCGTTCCGCCGGTGTCGCCCCTTCGGGATTTCCTAAATCATCCTCGCCGTGCCCCGCACATTGCCTCAGAGCGATTTCTTCACTTCCACCTCGACTCGAATATCCAAAATATCATATATTTTGCAGCACAAATTCGTGCTCATCCACAGAGCAAATGTGCACACACATTTCCACCTCTTCGGTCTGGATGGTGTAGTTGGTTATCACGTCGGTCTCATAGTTCACCTATGAATCTAGCATAGCTAGAGATATCCGAAGGCCGCGAGTTCGAGTCTCGCTCTGGACACAAAGCTTCAGACTTATCCATAAGTCTTATCCAACGTGATCAATTTCTTTTTTGCTCTTAAGACGGCTGATTCAGTTCCTCGCCTGGTTTTTAGACTATACTCTCCAGCTAACGCAGAATTATACGGGGTGCTCTGAAAGGAGGGACGACCGTTGCAAAGACGGATCCTCTACACCGCAAGCCCCTGCCGTTGAAGAATTGCCAGGTACAGGAAACTAGCCGTGCGGACTGAAAGGCTCACAAGCACCTAAGCTTTTGGCGTCGCAGGCGCCGACGGTGCCTGAAGCTCAGCTTCGGTAATGTCCGTAGCGCCCCCGTTTCAAGGTGGGCGAAACTGGCAATTCATCCGCGTCACAGGCTTGACCGTATAAACTCAAGCTTAATCCGAGCATGCCGTATTAGAACCATGCCACGGTGGATTGCTATCTCAAGGCAGAGAGGACCACCTGGAACAGAACTATCAGCTAGGGAGATGTTCCGCCTAAACACTATCTGCGGCAATCACCGTTCTGGCCCGGGTTTGACCGCTTCCGGCGTCTACTAGGCCTAGCACTGCACCAGTACACCGTGCAGAGCCTCTTCTTCGTCCAGAATAATATTGCTTGAAGAAGTTGTGCAAAGCATAAATTCGGATAACTAGTCTGCAAGCTGGACGAGGTGGTGCCAGTATGCTAGCCATAATTGCATTCCGTGAGATTGACCTTGGCCGTTAAGCAGGGAGGATGTGCGGTTCGGTCAAATTTATGGCTTTACGCGAGACCTCAAACCCAACACAAAATATTGAGAACGGACCTGCAGGATACGTTGTAAAGAACACAACACTGCAGAACGAAAGTAGCGCACGTCCTTGATTCGATGATCTTTGTCTCGACTGGACATACATGCCATCTCTCGTTCGACATTATAGCTACACTCTGAACCGCGCCCACCACTCCCCACTCACCCCTCAACGCCATAAATCTCCTTAATCCTCGCAATCTTCTTCTCCTCCAGCAACTTCCCAACTCCAGCCGTCTCAGGCACATACAAGTTGCCAGTATACTCATTATGCCTATCGAACGGACAAGAACTCGTTCCTGCATCTCGGTCGACGAGGTAGTGACATAGATGGAGAGCCATATGGTGTGCGAACTTGATGTGGCCAGATTGTGTCAGTTCGAAGGCAGCGATATCATTGTCTCCGGTTGGTGATCGAGCTCCGAAGTCTGCGTCGTCGAGCCATCCGTCAGTATCGATGACGAAGGTGTGCTTGTCGCCGATGTGCCACTTGAGCTCGTTGAGGACTTTTGACGTCGCGTGATGAAGCAGTGACTTCAGCTGGCGGCTTTGCGGGTGGAGGAGTGAGGATAGGATTGGCTGGAGGACGAGGAGGATTGGGATGGTTGACGGTGAGGAGTTGTAGAGATAGGATTCGTCGATTTCATCTTGAAGAGCCATCTGGCCGAAGGCCTGCTTGTTCGCCATTGTGGCTGGAGAGTAGGCGGTGCGTCTGATGGTCTGGATGAAGCTGGAGTAGGTGCGTGCGAATTCATCGGTAAATTGTGTGATTTGGTGCTTTGTCACTGAGCTTGACCGCAGGAACGCCTCGACGTCTGCTAAACCAAGCATCAGGACTAAGGCTGCTGGAGATTCCTTGCTCGAACCGAATGGCCAGAGGCGGTCGTAGAGATGTGTGCCTGGAGCACCAGCTCGGAAGAAAATATCTTGTGCTGTGCCCTGTCCACCAAGATCCTTCACTACACGCTGATTGTGGCACTGTTGGGTCATGCAGGTTGTGGGCGAGACTGGAATCGTTGATAGACTTGAGCTGGAGAAGTAGCCTTGTAGCAGCCCAGTCCACGGCATGGTCTTCGACCAGGTTTTGATCTTGGTGTCGTTTCGTCGGCATGCCTCGCTCATCATCGATGAGGGTGCCACTACCTCAACCAGCTTTCGTTGTATCCTGCTGGCCTGCCGCTTAGATGCAGACGTGTGGCTCTCATTACTGTTTGCGTGATTCTTCGCCTGCAGTACCAAGCCTGTGACCCCGTCCGGATGAAATAGCAAACCTCCTTCTTTCATCAATATGCCACGCAGCTGTAGCGTACTTGGCTCCGCGCTGTCGAATAGTGTAACTTTGAAGCGATGGACATTGTTGGGTTCCAAATTGTACGTAATCTGCTCTAACATATGAGACCGCTCGTAGTAGGTAGGCTTCGTGCTGTTGATAGTGACGAGAATATCGACAGGGTCTGCTGGTTCATGCTTTAGTTGAGTAGGTGTTAGGAGGAGTGACGATTTCTGTGCATTGTGGACATCTCGCTGGCGAGCACGTCTGTCGACTGCGGTGTTCGCGAGAACGAGTGCGACAGTCGAGGTGTTTGAGACTGCGAATTCGAAATTCGATCCTGGTCGGTGTCAGCGTGTACATAAGCGACAGGGTTGTAAAGTTACCGGGAAAGCTTGCCTCGACTGATAGCTGATTCGGGGCCACAAGCCAGCGACCATTGTACTGCGCGGCGTTAGCCACGATGACTGTCAATATATTGGCCACTAGACGTACCTGTATGTTCTCATCCTGGGCCGCCACAAATGTCCCCAATGTTGAGAGCAGACTGTGAGGGATACCATCACCTGGATGCCAATCGACAACCCATAAGAAGCACGCAAAAGAGGCAGAGAGAGCCAACGAAAACCCAATGCCGCTTACGAATGCCTTTGCGAGTAGATGCATGGAGATTGTGAATCTTGCTATTGGAAATGGTTAGAAGTGAAGATGTGATTTTGGCGAAAATATTTGGCGATGTCAACTGCTGGACTGATCATGATGCACCTTCCCGCAAATCCTTTGTTGCGAGCCTGCCTACCACGAATGCCAATATGAGATTTAGTCGTTCCGACTTCCGATGGTGCACTCCTGAGCCACCAATTATGGCCTGCCATGCTCAACTTTCTCAGCCTGCTGCACCTCAGCACTCTTCTCCTCCACAGTCCACGTTTTCTGCTGCTCAGTATCGAAATCTTCACCACCAGTAAAGCCCTTTCCCCCAGGTGTAAAGGTGCCAGGTTCCGCAAAGATATAATCAATTTGTTCCAGCGTCTTTCCACCAGTTTCTGGACACAAGAAGTAGACGAAGACCACAGCAACGACATTTCCTGTCAAGACAAAGATCCAGAACCTCCACTTGATGTTTTCAAGACCGACAGGCAGTACCATAACGAACAGCCACGTGGCCAACCACTCGCCTCCAGCTGTTATCGCTCCGCCCAAGTGTCGATAGTCTAGGGGCGGAATCTCACTGCAGTACAGCCAAACACATCCCTGCCAAGACCAGCCCATAACGAAGAGGAAGGTCCAGATAATGCCAATACTGGCCCATGACATGGATGTTGTAGGATTGATCGCTTGTAGAACGGTGAAGATGAGCATTAGTGTTGACATGGCTATGGCGCCCCATAGCAATGTTGCACGGCGGCCCGTACGCTCGACCGTGAAATAAAGCGGTACACATCCCGCCGCAAAGATGATGTTCTGTACACCCGCAAGAAGGCTGACTAGCGTTGGTGTAGCACCGGCTTGTGATAAGGTGACTGTCGAGTAGTAACTATCTTAAAGTCAGTGTCATGCGCACTAACTTCTCAAGTAAAATGCTTACGCTAACATGGAGCTGCCGGTCCACTCTCTAATGAACGGCAACCAGAAGCATATACATAGCCGTCGCACGATCCGGAGTGGTGTCTTGTCCGTGATACCAGATGTGAGAAACTGAGTCCACTTCAAACTGCTCTTTGCTTCCTCTTCCGCCTCCATTGCCATAAAGATCTCCCTTCGTGTCAGTTGAATCTTGGGATCATCGAGCGGTAAATCTGCCAGTCTGCAAAGGGCGTCGTCTCCTAGTTCCGGTCTGCCTCGAGCATAGTACCACCGTGGAGTATCGGGGAGAAACCACATGCATCCGCCAGAAGTGATGGCAAAGAGGCACTGAAAGATGATTGGCACTCGCCAGGAGAACTGGCCGTTGTATTGAACGAAGCCGTAATCGATCCAATATGCCAAGGGGACACCGCTGATCAAGAGGATGGCGTTGATAGCGTTGGCCGGACCACGGTCGCCGATCTCCATGCCCGTTTCAGAGAGGTACGTTGGGACTGCAGAGCTAATGCAGCCGATACTGAAGCCCTAGGCTGGTCAGCTTGAGCTCTCGTACTGGGGAAGAAGATGAGGGCTCGCATACCGTAATGATCCTTCCGACTATCAGTTGTGGAACGCTCCAGCTCGTAGCTTGGATAACCGATCCAACAACAGCGGTAGCGTTGCCGAGCAGAATCGTACCGCGTCGACCAAGTCTGAAGGTGAAAGGAGCTATTACCACAGTCGTGACGGCAGCAGCAAGACTGTATGAGCTTGAGATCATCGCAATAGTCCATGCGCCAGTCGGATTGCCAATGGCATCGAGGAACGGCTTGTGAAGAAGAACACCACCAAGCACGCCGGCATCATACCCATACATCATGAAGGCGACACCGCATATGAACTTCATGAGCCGGTAGAGGCTTCGGCCTCGGAGGTTGATGAGGGCGCCCATGCTTATGGTGTTGAGCCAGTGATGTCGGGAGATGACCACTGTGTTACTTCTTTGTAGGTCGACTCGTGGACAGCATGGTCTTCTTATACGTGTCGCCTACATGATGTACGGGCCATGACCGATATATTGACCGAGGTCATGGTATTCGACCATTAAAGTCTATATGGTCTTTCCCGTTGCTGGTATATTGTGGCGTCGGAGGTTTAATGAATGTTATTGGTGAGTTGAGGTCCGACCACGAACCAGGCCCGAGGTCAAGGAATTGTTTCCGACATTTCGCCTTTGATATCAGCTCATCAAACTTCTTCCAGCAATTGACGAGCTGCTTGTGGTGGATGAAACGCCTTGTGTAGTGGTCAAGCTGGCTGACGAGCAGATTTCGAGTCAGGAAAGCCTTGGAACTGGAGAAGCTCCACGTGGGGAGCTCCTTCTCCA